GCAGCCAGAGGTGCAGGGCCCTAGAACCCAGGCTCCCCCTGCAGTTTTCACTCTCCTGTGCCTTAACATACACACAGTGTCATCTATGTCATGAGTTTTGCTTGTCAGCAGGTTGAGGTGCAGTTTCCCAGAAACCCCTGCACCTATCTCCTTGAAACTTGGCAGGTTTTGTGGCCACCACCCCTGCAGTTTTCACCCCACGGTGGCTTAACACATACATGTGACACGAGTATTGCTTGTCAGAAGCTTGTGGTACAGTTTCCCAGGAACCCCTGCACCTATCACCTTGAAACTTGGCAGGCTTCATGCCCTCAGCAGTGGCTATCACCCCTGCAAGTTTCATCTGAATCAGCCAACAAACAATAAATTTATAGATATTTCACTGATTCCCCATTATACCCTATGGCCGAATCTCCGAATATTTTCCCGAATCGATTCAGCCAAATCAAATCAGAAAAGTGATTTGGATCTCCAAATCAAAATCGGCCAAATCCGAATCAAACAGTTGCCTATTTGCACAGGCCTACTTAGAAATCCCAGTAGGATCTGTGCCTTGTTCTGCTGGCTGCTACATATGGACCAAGCTCCAAGAATCATCTGACTTTTCATTATTCTTGCCAAAGCCCTAAAATTCTCTCGCGTTTCAAACACAGCTTCAGAACAGCTATGGCATACAAACAGACAGACAGTATGTTTTAGCATCACACTCTCTCATTAAAACTTCATTCAACTCTTTTCCTTTTTATTCAAAGGTATATGAACAAAAAGGTCTTCTCTATATTTGGTGTTTTCTCCTTATAACTTCTCATCAATGGCAAACAGAACTGAAAGCACTAGTACAGATAAAGCTCCATGTCATCTAGACTTGTCAAATAAGGTCAACCAATTTTCTTTTTGAAATCCAATGCACTAGAGAGCCTTTTCAAGGCAGGTACAATAACAAGAAAATCTGCTTCTCACAAATATACATTTGGGGACTGTGGCATACTTTACATTACAGCATACTGTGATTTAATTATATACCGTCAGAAATATAAAGAAATTTGATAACTTCTAAGAAATGTAGCATAAGATCATCTTGTATTGTTAACTTATATGTTGTGCCTATTTCCAAAGAAAAATATGGCACAGGAAAAATGTCCCCCTCCCCCCTGAGTACAAAGCAACATGAACATTTTATTTTTACTAAGACAACTGAAGTTACAAAACCAATTTACTTACGATTTTTTTCAATGAACACTTTGCTCACAGGCTGGCTGACACCAATGGGAGCAGCAAACACAGGTTGCTGATCCGGGCTTTTAATTCGTTCATCTTCAATTATATCCTCTTCCTCCACTTCTAGTTCGTTGGAGCACTGCCTTTCAGCTGCCCGAGTCTTCCTGTCATAATGGTATAGGAAAAAAGAAAGAATCACTGCTAAAGCTTTAAAGACTAAGGCTCCAACCCCGTAACCACTTAATTACAAGTCTAACTTGATTTGCATGAACAATGTAAAGTACTCACATGTATTAAGTTATTCCTCTATGTACGTGCTTGAATACCAGGCCTAAAATTCTTCTTCATGGAAATACAAAATTACTACCTAAAAGCCACCCCCAAGTATGGTTCTTGTAGTTGACTTTAAGTTTAAGATTAGGGGTTTACTGACCTTGAGGAGGCAGCCAGCCAATTTCACAGCCAGATCTCAGGGCCAGCCACCATTTTTATGGACTGAGCACAGGGGGGACCCCCACACCTCTGATTGGCCAAGGGGCCACAGCAGTCCCATCCCTCCCAGCAGACTGCCAGATGGCCCAAAACTGCAGCTTAATTACCTTGATTAACCTGGAGGAAGCCATTAATCCATGTGTTAATATATCCCTCCCCCACTCCGCCTTCTTCCCTCCCCAGTGTGCTCCAAGACTGCAGGGCTTCCCACCTTTTTCTCTGCTTGCTGGTAAGGTTTTGTTGTTGTTTTGTTTATTTTTGGAGCAAGCCTGCCAAAACTGCATGGTATGCCATTTTTACAGAGCTCACCATTTTGTTGTGGAGCCCACCCAATTTTGTGTTTTCCACATAAATCACACAATTGCAAATTCAGCAGGTCCCTGTTTATGACAAGCCATTTAGATAGAAAGAGGAAGACGCAAGAAATACTGTTCATATTAGGAAAAATCCTAAAGAAATAAGTAAGAGCAATGAACTGGAAGCTTTAGGCAAGAAGCAAAGAAGCAGCATCTAACTGGAGTAGCATTCAGAAATGTGGAAACAAGATAGAGAGTAGAAAAAGTAATGTTCAGATAAAATTAAAAATAAAGAGAAGGAATATTCATAAAACTGGAAATCAGATGAATAAATAGATACAAAACTCAGAATATTTAATTATACAACCTGAGCACTGTATTTCTGCTAACAAGTATACAGTTGTAGTGCATATTTGAAAACATTTCCAATAAATAATCTGCCAAACTCTCTCAATTTTATTTACTACTAAATTCACTGTGACCATGAACATACATATATTTAAAAAAACAGTTAGGCCTTAATCTTTCAAAGATATGTTAAACCAGTGCTTCCCACAGCGTGGTACGCAGACAACCTCTGAGTGGTACAGGGAAGGCCAATGGGAGGGGCACACACACATACAGACACGCAGATGCAGCCTGCTGCAAGTGGCCAGGAACACAGCCTGGCTATGTATGGAGCAGCAGCCAGCAGTTAAGTGCATTAGGGGAATGGCAGGGTGCAGATTGAGACCCCCCCACGGTGAGTGCGGCAGTGGGGCAGAGGCAGGGGTGGTGGGATGATCGGATCCCAGGGCAGCTCATCCAGGGGCGTGAGCAGTCTCCTGCTACATCATGCACCCTGGGGGAGGCATGGAGGGCACATGCCCCCCGGATCTGTGCACAGGGCAGAGGCAGGCTGCCCACTGTGCACTGGGTTCTGCACCCCACTGCCTTGGGAACCATGAGTGATGCCATGCACTGCGTCCCCTGCCTGCCCACTGGCAGAAGGCATATGGTGTCATGTAGGGCTCCCAAGGCAATGGCAGGCTAGAGCCCAGAGCATATGCCCCCTATGCCTCCCCGGGGCATAGGTGGATCCCAGAGGCCACTACCAATTTAGGGCCCCTGGGTTCCTCATCAGCAGGGAAGCGAAAGCCACCTTTTTAAACTTGGTGCTGTTTTTGTCTCCCAGCAGGGAGACAAAAATGGCTCAGCTCTTCCACTTGCTTCCCTGTGACCCGGGAGCAGGGCCCCTCCACCAAGGGGGCTGAGATCAGGCCAGACCTGGAGTGCTGCGCCTGGTGGCAGGAGGGGGTGGCTAAGCCAGCCCAAACCAGGAGCACTGTGCCACACCTGTACAGGCAGGCAGGTGGGAGGGTGGCAGCACCGGGGGGGGGGGGGGAGAAGGGTTTTGGGGGGTCGGG